CCTCCCCGGGGGAACCGGCAGCCCTTCCCCGCCTCCCCGGGGGAACCGGGAGCCCTTCCCCGCCTCCGCGGAGCACGGAGCGTCGGGGGAGCGACACGGGGCCGCTGGAACGGCCGTTGCGCCCGCAAGAGCTCCCTCACGGCCACGTCCAGCAGCTCCTTAGAAGTTGAATCGAGAATAAAGATGTCGCTGGCACCGTGCGGGGCAGGGGCAGCTCTGCCCGGCCCCCAGCCCGCTTCTACCCACGGCAGAGGGGCTGGGGGGGGAGGTAAAACGAGGAGCTCGGCTCTAAGAGGACTCCCATCCGGGCGTCAAATAAACCCCCACACAGTCAGTTACTGTTAGAAGAGTTGCACGGACTTTGAAAGCAACCCGCTAAACCTATTGTCTTTCGAGACTTCAGGATTTCATCTGAGATCATAAATATCATCCAGACATTAGCAGAGAGGTCTAAAAATCGTGTTTCTGCAAGTACGATCAGTTTCTTCATTTCCTAGAGAGTTCCTGGCAGTGGGTTAATTAAATCTCTGTTTTAAACGTGTTTGAGCTGCAGAGAAAGACTGGACTTAGTGAAAATTCTGGTCCCATTGCCAGGAGTGTGGATATACACCCCGATCAGAACCTCAATTTGACCCTTTGTTTAGCAACTGTTTCCTTCAGTCACATAAACATGCATAAGATTACAATGAAGAAATATTACATTCGATGCCAATCCTACTTTGTTTTTAATAAAACTCTCTGGGTTGGCTCATATGTGATTGCAGTTAAATTTAGTTGCAAACGGGCCGGCGCGGGGAGGGCGAGCCCCGGTCCCGCTCTCGGTTCCCGCGCCCCATCTCCCCCAGGCTCGGCTCGGTGCCGCGTCCCCGGAGGACCCCAAAGAGCGCCGGTACGGCCCGGGGGGACAAGCGGCGGCGTGCCCTCCCGCCGCCCGCCGGGCTCCCCCCGTCCCCCGTCACCTACCGACCCAGGGGAAGCGCTGGTCCCAGACGGACCACATCTGGATGGTGAAGAAGGGTGCCCAGCAGACGACGTAGGCCGTGACGATGACGAAGGTCATCTTGACGGTGCGGATCTTGGCGCGGGAGATGGTCTTGACGCTGCTGACACAAGGGGCGAGCAGCAGCCCCCGCCGC